TATATATATAAAAGTAGACAGACATTTACATATGAACTATCACTTATATTGAGCACTTTTACTCACTGTTAGAACGACACCGAGTTCCCTGCATAACGAAATTTTCAGTCTTAATTCAGCACATGAAGATTATGTTTTGCATAAAATTCAGTCGTGCTACTGATGAGGGAAAATGTATCTTTATTAAAACATAATTTCTATCTCTGTTATATTATATCGAGTAATATTTTATTAACACCAAAATTCAATGGCCGATAACACACACACACACACATACATATATATATATATATATATATATATAAGAAATATAGTCTTAAGGTGTGCTATATTTATGGAATAAAGTGCTCAATATCAGAGATAGAGCATGTGTAAATATAAAAGTGAACATAGAAGTCAACACTTAGAGGCGACAGTCTGTTTCATGCTATATGCAATCGTCAGGCCACATATGCTGTTATTTTTCTCGGCTATTTATATATATATACGGGTTAGTGGTGCATTGTGGGTATTCTATTATGGCGGTTATTTTACCGGAAGTCGTTTGTTTATTTATTTGGGTCAAATTATATTGCTCGTTTTTATTTTTTTGTTTCTTATTTATTTATTTATTAACGTAGTAAAAATTTGTTTATATCACTTATTTAACAGTTTTGTTTTGGTTTGAGAATTTAATTGAAGCTATTTGTTCAATTTTTGGGGTTGGTTGTTGTAGTTCATTCTAACTATTATTTTGGCGGGAACAGTATATATATATATATATATATATATATATATATATATATATATTGCTCGTAATTCGACGGAATCCCTCATTTTCGCATCTTGAACTGGCGGTAGTGCTAAATCAAGCGTTGATCTCAACATAAAATCGACTTATATACGAATATGTCACGCAGTTTTAACCTGATCCGGTAGAGCTTGCAAAGCAGCTTTGAGTCAAAATTTAACATTTAACATATTTTTTTTGTTTGAAAATGTTGTGCATGTCTTGTCCCAGAAGCTAGAGTAGATTTTGCACTAAACGCTTAGTAAGCATTATGCAAATTTGCAACAAGACCAAAATAACGGAACGCTTACTCACGTGTCATGTCTCTGCTACCCTAGAACGTTAACCATCACTCGCAGTTACGAAAAAGAGATTGAGTATTTATTAAATTTAGTTTAGAGTCTGGCACAAGACTTGTTCAGTTGAGAATACAATTTACTGTTTAGTAGTACTTGCTTATTAAATAATTACTAACCTTACACTCTGTTTGTCCAAGGCTAGTATAATGTAGTAGACAGTATGTAGTAGACAGATAGTATAATGTAGTAGACAGTATGTAGTAGACAGATAGTATAATGTAGTAGACAGCAAAGTTTGGATCTTTCTATTAATTCACCACAAATAATGTAATGTTACTTTTCGCAAATATTAATTTACGCCAAGAAATTATTAATTTTAAATCAAAGTTTGTTTAGATTGCCTCTCAACAACTCCAACACACAGAATGAAAAATTACCAAAAAATCAAGTGCGGATGATATTCATGGTACTTACAAGGAATTTTTCCAATTAAAAATAAAAGAAAAAATCTGTTTGTGGCTTGTTTATCGCGGTGAGCGAGAACGTAGACCCCACACTAAAAAATAGCGCACCCGAGTTGCCCACATTTAGGGCGATCACAATAGTCAACCCAAACAGTGTGCAATGGAAGGGCTTTGCTCTTGAAGAATTCGGTGTGAATTTTAGTAAATATATATTTTTTTATTATTTTGGGTTGAATTAGCAGAAAACATCCCAAAGTTTTAGTTCACCTGAAATTTAATAAGATGCTTATTTGGGTTGAACATATGTCCTCGTCTCAGATCCCATATAAAACACACACTGTCGTGTCTCCAAACAAAAAATTACTTCATCTATTATTAATTTTTGGTTAATATCTTTTTTTGTATTTCAATTACTTTCTATTAACAGTTTTTTGAAGACTAACAATGTTTTTTTTTGTTCCTGATACGAGTTCTAGTATTTAACCCATAGACACACTTGCTGTACATAGACATATTATACCTTTTTGGAATCAAGATTTTCCCGGGATTCAACATCTGTTCTTCATCTGGTGCTTGAACATTCATTGGGATTTGTGTCTGGGTGAAGACGGAACAGTTAAAAATTCAATTTTAAAATAGCTGAAAAAATTACTGAGTTTAAAGAAACACAAAAACTTTTTGTAAATTCAGGAAATCGATTTTATTTCTTCAAAATGTCACGGCATCAGAGTTAAAGTGAGAAGTTTTGTGACGTCAGGTTTCGAAGTTCCACAAAGTTTGTGATTTGAAGAACTCAAAGTTCCACGTAATTTGTGATTTGAAGAACTCAATTTTAGGCCTGAACTGGAATTTCGACCCAAATCGTCTTTAGAGCCCAAATCGGCCTTTTGTCCGAAATTCAAAGTTATTTCTTCAAAATTATTCATTGCTGTTTTCTAAGCTGGGCTAGAGGTGCTTTTAATTTTGACCTGGAGGCCCAATTAGACCTCTACGGGAGCTAGCTTACACATGATTATCAATAGAGCTAAATATAACCCCAACCAATCTTTACCTACCGACTTACATATAAATACAAATAATGTTTACCTATAGACTAAACTATAATAAAAACTAATCGGCATTAAATAACTCAACAATTGTTGATATATTGCAAAATTCTCCAAACCCACGCAAAAAGATTTTCTATATTAGATTAAGGCTAAATTGAATATTACATTTGTTGGGATTATCTATAATCTTAAGTCAACGACCATATTCTTAAATAATCTAGGGCTACTAAATTATCTTCAGTTGAATGCTCAGGGTACAGTAGTTCTAATTAAAATCACTAATAATGGAAGATATTAATTAAGTAAAAATATGAACAATTGCTTTAATCAATAATAAAATGTATAATTTGATAACATGTCTTTGCATTTTGTTTAAATACGACGTCGCTTCAGAATGTCGGCAGCCATGATTCTCCGCAAAATCTATTTCTTTATTATCTGTAAATTGCTTTCTGGGAAAAATAGGAGAGTGGTTTCCTGTTATTTTCTTCATGGTTTGGACGTTTTTCCTTTTCTTTGGCTAAACTGGAAAAAAGAGATGAGTTCGTACTTTTCACAAGGTTAGTAATGCGAAAGTGAACAGGCTAACCCATTATTTGGACTTATCTCGCTGATTAAAATTTCGCATTAATATCAGTTGCACCACTAATGCAAGCATTGTCTTTGTACAACAAGCGTTAAAAAGAATTCTAAAATTCGCATATATTAAGGTTAATATTTCTTTCTTTCGCGGCCATTGGTCTTAATATTTCTTTCTTTCATGTACATTAGCGTTAACAGTTTCTTTATATCGTTTGCTACAAGCGTTAAAATCCGTGAACTCTAAAGTACGTGAAAGGTTTTGGAAATCTCTCTCATTCTGAAAGTAAAATATTCAACCGGTCTAAAAATAGTAGGGTAACATTTCAAATAATTCATTGAATTCTATAGCTTGATTTGTTTTTTATGGGTCATTTCAAACTGAAAAATATTATTTGGATCGTGGGAATAGATTTTTTTTTTTCGTGATTGAATTAAGAATTTCTTAGATTGCAATAATTTTTCCAGAAAAGTCTTGCTATTTAATCCATAACTGGGGGACGAACAAAATTATGCATGTCATCATTTCTTTTCTCAGAAAATTCAACTCTCTCCATATCATTCAATAGTAGTGAAAAAAATTAATCAGAGAATATTCAAAGAGAATAATGGTTAAAACCCTTAACTCTCGAACCTTGTTCTATTCTCCCTCAGAATCCCGTGTGTTCAGTCTTGTGCCAAATTAAACTAAATTTAGTAAATATCTATAATTGCACTGAATGTTCTATTGCCATGACTGCCATTAAAAGGTAAATGTATTATTTCATTTATATTTTTATAAGATGAAACATTGTCAAGCATTGTTATTAAGTGTTTAATGTTATATACTTTCAATTTAATTCTTTTAGAACAACTACCAAATCGACGGAAGACTTTCAGCAATAGCAACGAAAATGGATAGCACTTGTGACTAGAAGGGAAAATAATGATATAATCAAGATGCTGAATTTCCACACTACCTTAGACAAAAGGTTTGGAAGGAAACTCCCATCAATACTAGAATGAATTATAACAGCTAGTGAACTTGAGAAACCTATATTCCTAAAAAAAAACAACTCTTTATAAGTGAAAGGCTTTATAAAGTTCAAACGACAGTAACGCTAACAGTTTGGTTAATGTATGTCGAATATTTCTTGTATGAAAATGGTTACCAGTATTATTCAGGCTGTTTCGATGACAGGGAGTAGACAGCGCTGGATAACTATCATCATCATCATCATCATCATCTTGTTGACTTTTGTAAACGTAGGGCGGATCCGAATGAAGAAGCCACACTAACTAACACGGTCTGTTAACGGCAGCCATCAACAATTCTGGTACAGTCATACCTGTCCATATTTTTGACATTGTCCAAACAGTTTTTGCGTTTGTCACCCTCTCCTACGTCCGCCTTCAATGGTGCCTTGCATGATGGTCTTGCTTTTATTCTTTTATCTTGTGTTTCTTGTTAATCATTTCACCTCGAGCAAGGCAACAAAGTCACTAAGACGCATGGAGGTTACTGAGAATGAAAGAATATAAGAAAAAGAAAAAACATTATTAAAGAGCGAGAACAATAAAAACAGGCATTAAAGCAGATGATAACGATTGACATTTACATTTTTGAAGATCAAACTTGACTGGAAAGCAAGAATCGAGAAGAAAATTCCACAAGAGAGAAGCGATAAAAAAGAGGTTATATTTGACTATTTCAACTGTAAATTGGAGAGATCTTACCGCTAACTGCGCTTAAATTCAAAGGGTCCTCATTCAAGGCCAGCTTCATGTTGGAAATTGTAAAACCAATTTCCTTGCCTGGGTCATTCATCTCTTTTCTCTTGCAGTTGGTGGATGTATTCTGATGTACGGAGGCAATAAGAACGTCTGCTGTGTTCTTTTCCACAAGCCACAGAGTCGCAGTCTCTGTTGAATCTTTCCATTTTATGTCTTATTGTTTTCCCGGTCTTCAAAGAGCACTGAGTAGTTGTTGTGATTTGCGGCATTTTGATGCCCCGGCACGGATCTTCATGATACAAGTTAAATTTTTCCCAATATTCAGGTGGTTTTCACTCGTTCATGTCAGTTAGATTTCTCGATGCTATTCACTGTTTACAGATATTCCAAACCAATCTGGAAAAATAAAAACACTAAACTCTGTCTCATTTAGCTCAAACATCTATTATAAAAAAAAAAAACAAGAAACCAAGCTTGAGTTCTGAACACGACGATAATAAACACGCCGTATATACAAATCAAATCAAGAATATATCAACTTGCAGAAACTTATATGCAATCTACAATAATTACTCGCCATTTATTACAAACATTTTTATACAAAACTTTTTCAATCAGCACCTGACGATTGCGTTGTGTACGATGAAATTCAGTGTTGTATTTCATCATTACTGCCATACTCGTTCCCAGCCAAGTGTTGGGGAACAGATGATAGTCAGGAGTTTTCAGAAAAAGTCACACTCAGCAGCCATTTAAACTAATAACATGTGTGCTGGGATATTGTACTGATAAAACAAGACACCATTCGTCAGTGTTCCTGGGGGTTTGGTCTTGATTGACTTTCGTGACTGCCTCAACAAATTCGCATACTATTCTACACTGATCATGTGAGCATTTTGAAGATAGTCAATAAACACAAGCTAGAGTAATTAAGTTGATTTATGATACACACATATCGCCAGAGATTCTAAGGCATTCTTCCGGACACACAGTTATGCTTTTCTTTCATTTTAAACTGAAGACGCCAAAGAGAGTATAAAATTTTCCAGAGAAACGCGTCATTAATAAAATTTTCCACATTGTTTTATGATCTTCAACATATATATATATATAATATGGAGAAACTTATCACTTAACTGCGTGGTGTTGGTTTGGTCATGCTGACTTTGAAGTTTCGTGAGCGCATTGCAGTAATGCTTTCACTCTTCAGAGAAACCAACTGCCCCGAAGAGTGAAAATATTACTGAAATGCGCTCACGAAACTTCGAAGTCGGCATGACCAAAACAACACCACTCAGTTAAGTGATAAGTTTCTCCACATTAATTAACTGTCTGCCTAAAATCCTTTCCCACCAGTAAACTAAGGAAAAAGAACCAGCAATTTTGAAACCTAAAAATTCTTACAACTTAATACTATATATGTGTGTGTGTATGTATGTGTGTTAACATGCATCGAGCTTTATGTTATTAGCATCAGAACAATGTGCGATATATATATATATATATATATATATATATATATATATATATATATATATATATGGAGTAAGCGAAAAAGAGCAAGAGAGATCGTGGAATGGAGTGATGAGTTGCATGTTAGATTTGATCTTCAAAGACGTTATGTTCATGTAACTTTGCGTTTAATGTAGCTGGCTGTACACCAGGCTTCACTAAGGATGAGTGTTTGAATCTAATTGATGGGTTATTTATTTTCAATTCTTGTTGTCTACTCATTGTCGTAGAGTGCCAAACAAAATTGTTTTCATGCTAATTAACTGTTAACTTGATTTCACACGTATTGCGTACACACTGTTTAGATTGTGAATCGTATTGGAACGGCAGAAGCGAGTCCTATCCTTGATAATACGATGAATTAATTATTGTTTATTTATTTTACAGCACTTCCCCTGGCAATCGCTGGACTAAGCCCAAGAGACATCGCCATAATCGTTGTTGTATGTTTACTGGTCGTATTCTTTTTATTATGCATACTGTTGTTTTGCTATCGAGCGAAACTTAAGAAGTTTTTTCCCTGCAGTGAGTAAATTTTCTTTTTATAAGTCGCATTTTTTTAATATTATTTGGTTGTTTTTGCTTAATTATAATCTAAATACTTTGTATGCAGTTATATTTTATTTTTAATTTGTTAGGATATAGTAATGGTGTTAATAATACAAGCCTTACTAATTAAACCATAGCTTGGGAAGAACAGGTTTATTCCGCAACGGTATTTGTAGGTAAGTGAATATAACGAACCCAATGAGAATTGAAACTTCTATTAACAATACCGAGCCATTATCCATTACACCACCCGCACACCTAAGCTTACAGCACCAGCTATTCCCAAGCAATCACCCATTTAGCTACTAACCAGGCTCAACGTTGCTTAACTTGGTGTTTCAATGTGAGCCTAACGAAATCGGGATTTTACAACTTATTCTTTGTTTCTGCCACTTGTGAAAAGTTCTAGTGAACGAAAAAAAATGCACATTACACATCCAAGCTTACAGCACCTGGTATTTCCAAGTGGTCACCCATATAGCTACTAACCAGGCTCAACGGCGCTTAACTTAGTGTTTCAATGTGTGCCTAAAGAAATTTACGAACCCTAAATTTTCGCTTGAGGATGAAACAGGTCTTGATACTTTAACTCAATTTAATTTTAATAATTATATTGAGGTTTTCGGCTTTTGAAACATAAGAACTCTTATGTAGCGAAGGAATCATATTTTCTTTAAAAAATAATTATAATTTAAGCTCTACTGCTGTGTGGAGCACTGTTTTTTAAAAATAAAACAAAAATACTAAAGAGCTCCGGATTATTTACCTAACGTGTATTTTTCCTATTTTTCTACATACCTGCACACACACACACACACACACACACACACACACACACACACACACACACATACATATATATATATATATATATATATATATATATATATATATATATATAATGTTATAAGTATAAGAAACTATACTCGCTCGGAAAACTTCGTTGTATTGAATTGCAAATAAACAAGCCAATACCAAAGGGAAAAAAGGTACAAAAAAACGAAAGAACCAAGATGTACGTTATTGTACGTTAAGCGAAAATAATCGTCCAGCATACGAGTCCAAGGCCCAAAGAAAAAAAAACCGATGCGAGTACTCAAAATAACACACACACATATACATATTCGGATTTTTGTTTTTCCATATATTTTCTTCATACTGTCGGACCTATATCCATATATTTGCTTACACACACATATATATATATATATATATATATATATATATATGTGTGTGTGTGTGTGTGTGTGTGTGTGCATTTTCACCTCTTGTTTCCATTACTTATATTTGTCTGTAACTTGTCTATCTGTCTGTCTGTCTTCTTCTTCTTCTTCTTCTTCTTCTTCTTATTATTATTATTATTATTATTATTATTATTATTATTATTATTATATTTGCAGTAATGAAAAACAAAGTTGAAAATACTCCGGAACCGACTTCAAGGTAAATACAGTTGTCCCTATTTTTCCTACGTTGAAATAGATATCTGCAACGCAGATAGTGCCGAAACACACACACAGAGACATATATATATATATATATATATATATATATATATATATATATATATATATATATATATATATATATATAGTTTTAAGGTGTGCTATATTTATAGGATAAAGTGCTCAACATCAAAGATAGAGCAAATGTAAATATAAATCTAAGAGGCGACATGGTGTTTCATGCTAGAGGCAATCGTCAGGACGCCTGACGATTGAGTCTATCATGAAACAGCCTGTCGCCACTGAGTGTTATATATATATATATATATATATATATATATATATATATATATATATATATACATTGGGTCCACGAAGAATGATTTTAAAGATAGATGGAGGTGTGACGTCCCTAAACACAGCCTTCGCTCGCTCCTCACTGCTTCGTTCGGGTATCGCCGCTCCAAACGTGGCGTCCGCCTGTCGCGTCAGTCGTGTTGTCTCGTCCTGTGACGACCAGTTGGCTTGGTATCGGTCGCGGCACCCAAATGTGACGTTCTAACCTTTCGGTGATTCGGATGGGAATCTGGTTAGATTCGATATCAGCCTCGCCGTTCCCAATTCGCTTCCAACGCCTGGTTACCAAAGTAACTGCGTTGATCTCCAGTCCGCCTACCCACGTTGTGAATCGATCTTAGGCAGACGAAATCAATCAGTCGTTGGGGCCGCAATGCAAGTTGGGTCCAAGCTGGGGTGGTATCGCACAAATACGTATAAAAGAAATCAAATGATAACTCAAAAGTTCAAGGTATCAAAGAAAAGGATAACAAACTTTATGTCTAGTTGTTGGATACATAGGACTGCGTTTATCTCCCGACCCGTTCTATGGATTGTGACACGTTGTTTTCCGATAGGCGAGTTTTAACACTTCAAGTTGTTTGCTCTTTAAGAAATTGGTTTTTTGGTGTGTCTTCGGGCGAAAGTCGAAAAAAAAACTTATTTTGGTGGTCTGGATCTAAGTCGCTCTTCAAAATAATTGTTCTTGGATTGAAGATGAGTCCGGAAATTTGCGCGAATCTTGGTCAGCCGATGCGAGGCTTGCTTCAACTGAGCACTGGAGACTGACTCTGGGAACTGTCTCTCCCGAACTGTCTGATTTTCGCTCGCTGCGACTTCGCTTATATGGACGCCGACAAAAACCAGGGTGGGTTTGTCGGCGCCAGGGGTTGCTCAATAATTCTAAATACATATCCACTTCTTTTATTTTTGGTTAGGAATTTTCCACTTCTTCCATTTTTGGGAGCCTTCTCTTACTCCCACCTTCTCACCATACTTCAGAGGGGCGTGAACTGCCCTCCCCACTTCTTTGTAGCAACCTCTCATACCCATCCTCTAGGTGGGCGGCGACAGCTTCCTCCTTGCGTCACGTGATTACCACTCGGCCAATGATATCCAGCCGGCGTGTGCGATCCCGCGGCTTTGTTTTTTATTTTCTTTTTCTTTCTTTTAATCGCAGTTCTCAATTTCTCTGGCCGCAAATAAAACAATGCGATCGGTGGTGGTCATAACTCTTGTTCTCACCTGGACATCGTCAGTCAGATTATCGCTAATTATCAGAATGGGTGGTCTATTTGACACAACACAATCGTCCGTCACCTCGAAAAAAAAATTTCCATGGTTACAGTCATTCTTTGGTGCACATTTCTGATAACATATTTTTATTATCGCAGCCAAAGATGTCTTGTCAAAAGAAAAACGGTCAGTCGCCACCTCGTGTGCGGCTTTGACACAATTAATTTTTCATATCTATCCAAAGCCCTGTAGTTCACCTGTTTTTTGTCAATTATCAAAATAACATTTTCAATTGGATTTTTCTTTGGCTAGTCGGTCTGGGGTTGGCCAATCAGATGTTTTCCCGCATTAGCGGTTTGTTTATGTATCCCCGATAACACAAGCTCGTCGCCAGAACACATCTGATTCCTTTATCCACTTAGAATTTTTCTGCCATTGTAATGACAGTTTTTGCCATTTGCTACTTATCAAAATATTCTTTATCCATTGTCTCTTCGTCGTGGGTGTCCTACTTATCATCCACGTTTAGGTCTCGCCTCTCTTTTCCTTCCTTTCTTTCCTTTCTTTTCTTTTTGCCTTGGTAAATGGTGCCACAGAGGCAGCATAAGTGCTCTTTCAATAATATAAACAAAAGAAATCAGACTTCCCTATCTAAATAATTTTGGTATCTGAAGGAAACAAATGGGACACCTAAAGTTAAATGGAAAATTATAAACAATGCTAGAACATGTAAAACTTGGGATGACCCATGCCCTTTGTGCCTCCATGAAAAATTGCACATTATTAAGCTTCTAAATAATAATAATCTATTAAACAATAGACACGAGTTAACGGTTTTTTGTAGACATCATCAGATTTTTGGTTTGAATTATTAGCTAAAAAAAAGCATAAAATATAATAACTTGTTTAATACATAGCCCAATCATCAGATTCATGGTTTGAATAATTAACTAAAAACATGCATATAATATAACTAGTATCTAACTTGGATATATGGATAGCGGCTTGGATTGAGGAATCGCAGAGCCAAATTTCGAATTCCAGTCGAATCCATTACATTCACTTACGTGCTAATACCCTTGGGAAAGGTATGAATCCTCTTCCTCTCCCTCCAGCTATGGGTAAAATAGCAGGATAGACAGGGTTCTATAACCTTGGATGTCAACTGGTCTAGGAGATAGACAACTCTGAATTCAAATCCTGCGGAGGATCGTTTGGGAACCTTGTGGCATTCAGTGCACAAGGTCTCTGTATTCGTCCCTTCAAAAAGTGTGGATGGTCCTGAACGAGGCCTTCACCACTATAATCAAATCTCATGTGCCGGTTTCGGGCTGTCGGTTTCGTGGAAACTGATCTGCTTGACCCTCATACGTCGAATCTCGACGGGAGAGTCGATTATATACATATATACCATGTGTAACAGCAAAATTGTCCAATTGTTAGATTTTGCTGTTACACCCGGTATATATATATATATATATATATATATATATATAGGTAGTAATCCGTTGGTATAATCCAGGCGATTCCTATTCACACAAAAGAATTTGAAATATGTTAAAACTGACTCACAAAAGAGCATTCCATGTTTATTTTCATTAAACATAACAAATTTTCTTTACAACTGAAATTAAGATACCTTTAGTCACTTTAGATACCTTTCCGAAATTTCTGTCGATGAATAATATATATATATATATATATATATATATATCGCTCTAAGGTCTGTATTCGGTGTCACCTCCAAAAATCAAACGGTGCCTTGACGATTCACACGGAAGGTAACTTCAATGCGACAAAATACAAAATTGGGCCTCAAAGAGTGTCAGTTGATATGTCAACATAATGAAAAAGTTAATCCAGTAGAACTTAGGATATACACAGACGTAAACTGGATGACAGAGAGTTTTTATAAATATCCAGCCTATGAGAAGGTCGTCAAGGATCCTATTAACCTTTTAAGAAGATCAAACGTTCGAAGAAAGGCACGAAGCCACATACCCCTTGCTTGACCGACGTTAACTTTACGTAGTCGAAAAGTCATTAACAATTGTGTTTTATCTTCTTGTGGAGCGATTTATATCGCTCCATTTGCATTGAGCGGTTGAGCTCAACCGTCTTGTATTCAGCAGAGATATCTCCCGAAAATACAGCGAGCATAGTACCAAGCTTCTAGTAATGTTTGTCTGAACACCAATGAAGAATCATAGTAACACCCTGCTGATTTTTCTTCCAGATATTCAAACAACCATCTTAAAAACCATCGTGTCATGTGAAGCAGGTGTGTGACTTACCAAAGATATCACCAGAAAATCCCGTGATCACACTTCATCTATCTTGCTAATTATTATTGATTTCGCTTTCAGATATTCGGCTACCAATGTAAAGATGGTTTCCTACAACTTAACGAATATTCGAGAACGGCGTATGGCGGACAAGAAAAACAAAAGAACATATCCTGAAAGGAACGAATCTCCGGACTTTTTTCTCGAAAACAACAGTGATGTCTCCTCTAGCTTAGAGGGCAGGTGAGTCTACAATCTCCCTCC